GACCACGGTGCACGATACAGAAATCACTTTCCTTCCCCGGGGAAGCTGCGTTGTTGCTTCCAAGAAGGAGTGGGTATTGCAGCCCTCAGCACACACCAGCGCTCCTCACGCCGCTTCCAGGCTCACGAGGGCACCGTGCTTCCTTGCCCCCACGGGTTTTTCCTGGTGCACCTGCGGTTCTGTAAACTTTGTTTGTAAGAGAGCTGGAGGAAGGGCTGTGTCCGCCTTACCCTGGGTCAGTCCAGGTTGGCTGCATCCTCCTCCTCATCCTGGTGAGGACAGAATCGCGTCTGGGGAAAAATGAACTGAAAAAGAGGAGGTGAATGGCCTGGGCTAAACCCTGCGTGGCAGCATCAGAGGAGCTTCTGGGTTCTGTGCTTCATCTCCCAGGCTGTCATCCCAGTTCTTTAGGTGTGGCTTTGTAAGGTGCTCGCTGGAGCCAGGTACCCCCTTCCTACTGAAGCCTAGTGGGAGAGGGATGCGATTTTCAAAAGCTGCTTTAGAGCAGAAGTTGTGTGAAAAATCATTGGGCGTTTGTACTTCTGTGTCCTGTGGGGTCTTCTGAGAATCCCACCAGCATGAAAAGCTTTGTCTGGCCCTCTGTGGCTGAGCACTGGCGTCTTTGGGTGTGAGATCCCAGCAGACAGTAGCTGCTCTCTGCCTTTTTACGCACAGTGACTGCTTAGATTGAAGGTGTTTCTTCTCTCCCTTTGTTCTGTTGTAGAATTAAAAGGTTCTGGATTATTTCTGTTGCAGCCTTCCAGTCTCTTGCAGATGGATATGGCTGAGCGAGGGGAGGTCCACGTCATGCACGGGACTGGAGATGGTGCTGGATGGGAGAACCGAGCCCCAGAGGCAGCTGGGTGCTCTCAGAGGTCTTGGCGGGGGGTCTCACTGTCCCCTTTCCCCCAGGTTATGCGCTACCAGGTTCTGCTGTCGCTGATGCTCTCCAGCCAGACCAAGGACCAGGTGACATCAGCTGCCATGCTGCGCCTGAGGCAGCGTGGCCTCACGGTCGACAACGTTTTGCAGATGGATGATGCGACGCTGGGGCAGATCATTTACCCCGTGGGATTCTGGAGGGTGAGTGCAGGATCCCCCTCCGCCCTCCTCCGCTCCCGTCCTGCAGTCGGAGACAGCTCAGAGGCCGGGGAGAGGAGCGCAGAGCAGGCACAGGCGTGTCCTCAGCAGAATGTGTTATAATCAGGTTTGGATTTTGAATAGATAATTACTTTACATTGATAACTAACTGCTTTTAATGAACAACTTTATTGTTTCAATGAATAACTAACGTTTTGTATTAATTTCCTGATTTGATCAGTTTACATGACGGTAAGAAATACACCAAACCTCCCTCCTGCTCAGAGACAGCAGCTGCAGGCCTGGTGAAAACGGCCAAAGCTAAAGCTGCTGCGGGGCGTGAAATTGTGCAGGACACAGAGCAGGGAGGCAGGGAGACAGGGACCGGGAGTGCAAGTGCACGTTCTTAACGTGTCTTCTTATCTCATGGGATGAAAGCGTAGAAACAAAGGCATGTTAAGGTGAAGACCCTCACATCCTCCCCATCCTGATTTGTAGATCAGAGATCTTGATCGATAAGATAACCAATGATTATATTAGTATAGGAATACTAATGAAGTTACTTAATAGGGTGGACCAGTCGTTGTAAATGTCAAAATTAATAGCGGGCATAACATCCGTGCTTACGTTAAAATATGTTAAAGACCATGACTTTGCAGAAAAAGGATATAAAATGCTGCATTTTCAATGTAACTTTGAGGCACATCAGGTGGAGCCACCCCCCGTGCTTCCCAGCGCTGCAGTACAGAAGTGCCGGCTTCTCTGCCGCGGTGCAGAGAAGTTTGTGGTGGTGGTGACCAACAGCTGGAGGCCGGTCGCTGAGCTGAGGCGGGTGGTGGAGGCAGGAGGGGGCTGTGAACCAGCCCCGCTCCTGAGAGACGCAACCCCCCGGCCGGCATCCAGCCTGCGCGCCCACCCCGGGGTGAGCTTTCCCCTGGAGTCAAGCCAAAGGCTGGATTTTACACCGGTTTCAGCCATTTCTCTTCCCAGCAAGATTGTTTGCTGCAGTGCCTGGAGTGTGCAGGGGAGGTTAGAGCTCATCAGGTCTCAGCGTTGTGCTTTCACAGCGTCCGCCCTCCGCACGCTCCCGTCCGTGGCCTCGCATGTAACATCTGCTCGGGAGTGGTTTGCTTTCTGAGCTGTTTGTCTCTTTTTCTTTTTTATCCTGTGTTGGGAAGCAACTTGGATTTTCTGCCTTTCCCCTTGGTTTTCCAGAACAAGGTGAAGTACATAAAGCAGACGACAGCCATCCTGAAGCAGAAGTACGGGGGCGACATACCGAGAACTGTGGAGGAGCTGGTGCAGCTGCCGGGAGTCGGCCCCAAAATGGCCCACTTGGCCATGAACATTGCCTGGGACAGTGTGTCCGGGATAGGTAGGTTGGGCTGGATTTTCCCTGTTCCTCTCCTAAATCCTGCCTGATCCATTACCCAGGCAGAGGGCAAGCGCTGCAGCCCGGGTAGACCTGCTGCCCCAGGAGCCTGATAACGTCGCTTCAGTTCAGTCATCCGCAGAGTATTTGGGCGGGCGAAGGCTGCGACCCTCAGCCACTCACAGCAGATGAGTTGCTGTAGGATTTAGGCATGGAATCCAGCTACTGTTTTTCCCCAAATCTGACAGCAGAAATCCCCAAGGACAGTGACCTCCCTCCCCTCGGACGCTGGTGAGCAGTGCAAGTATTGCCTGATGGCGTAGGCATCCAAAGGGATGTGCTCGCAGAGCAGTGCTTTGAAATCTCTTTGGTGTCAAGTGAAAGAGAGGTGGAAGTGATTTTGTGATCTGAGGGTAGTTGTAGGATAGTCTGAGGGTTTGTTTTTTTTTTTCCCCCAGGGTTGCTTCTGTCTGAACAAAACTCATTTGGGATTTTTGTTCGGCAAGCCATAAGAGGGCAGGCGCAGGGCTGAGTCAAAATTACCCTTTGGAAACAGTAATTCACGGTGGATTGTAGAAAGAAACGGTCTCGGGCAATCTGCAGCTACAGAATTCCTGCTCTGTTTTAGTTCCTGCGGCTGGGTAACGGGTGAGCACAGCTCCGTGTGTTTGTTGCACGGGGAGCGGAGGAGAGCGCGTCGCTGTGCCCCGGGGAGCTGCGTGCTTTAGCAGCGATCGGCTGGGAGGAAGGCTGTGGTGGAGATGAGCCCAGACCAGACCCAAGGCAGGTTGGCTCCTGCCCCTTTGGGGAGCGAGGCTCCTTTGGGGAGCACGGCTGGCAGCAGAGCTGCCCGCAGCAGCCGACAGATGGGGCTGGGCGACCAGCAGCAGGGTCCCGGCGGGCTGCCCGGCCTGGGGG